TTCAACAGCATCATCATGACAGGAGGTAGGGCAGCTGAGGGTAGGCCCAGTCTAGTGCAGGAAGGAACCTCTAATTATGGGGTAGACACATATGAAAAAAAATAGGAAATTTTTATAGGTACCTACCGCCGGAGCAAGAATCGGCCCAGGGACTAGTTGAGACCACAAACAAGTTTTTTAAAATGGTGGAATCGTTTGTTAGGAAAACTATATAAATTGTTCTCCGCTTCTTTCTTTTCTGCTACAACGACCTAAGGTCCCTTAACATATTTTTTAGGGTTCCGTACCTCGACCTGAAAATACGGAACCCTTATAGGTTTACTTTGTTGTCCGTCCGTCCGTCTGTGAAGACCCTTCTTTTCAGGAACGCGTGGAGGTATCATGCTGAAATTTAAATCAAATACTCAGGTCTACTGTCCCTTGGAGCTGTGAAAAAATCAAACTTTTAAGCTAATGCAATCAAAAGATACCGCCGTTTATGCCGCAAATTTCCACAACTTTTCGTTACTCGCAAGGAATCACAACCTTCAGGGTACGTCCCGTGACTTTTTTTAATAAGACATTTTTATTAATTTATTAAAACAGTACAATGTGAATTGGCAATAGTTATTTTTGAACTAAAATGGTGGCCGCTTGCTTACTATCAGGCGGGCCATACACTTGGTGGCCACACTTTTAACATAAAAACCCCTGTCAGCACAAATATGGTGTTAATTTGTTATGTACATATTATAATAAATACACATAATAATTTCATTGATTTGATGATATAAACAATAAAAAACCTAATCAAAAACTTAGGTAAAATTACCCCGTCGATGGAAGTAAATGACTTTTTGATTGGTCTATTAGACATATTGTAGATTGGGTAAATAATATTAAGGAAAGTTAGAACTATTTACAAATTATACCTACAATGAAGGTTTCTACTTTTTAATAAAAATAATCGAGGAATATAATTTATCAATGATTATTTTCAGTTTTTTCAAACGGTACGGAATCTTTTGTTTGCGAGTTCGACTCGATCTTGCTTGACCACTTTTTTATTACTGAAGGTACTGAGATCGATACAAAAATTAATAATTCTTCAGTTGCTAATCTTATAAATAACTAAAGCATTAAGTTCAAATATACGTATATATACATGTACTATAGGACGACCGAGGAGGAAATTTTCAGAAATGTACGCCCTAAGTTTAGGAATCCAGTCCAGTCCAGTCCATTTATCAAGGAAAACTATATGACACGACGCTACAACATATTGGTCGTTAATAGGGAGAGGAGCATTAATGAAATAGTTGCAAAAACAGGAAAAAATATTCCATTTGAATGCTTCCGTTATGTTAAATACAAAAAAAAATCACGAATAAAGGAGTTCTTCTTTAAAAGTTCTTTAGGTTGATTCTACCTCAAATTAACGAGGAACGAATAAATTGGACACAATGGATTTACCTCAAAAATAAAATGTTGCAGATGTATAAATAGAATTGATTTTCCCGGCACGATCGCCTTTTATTTCAGATAGTACTAAAAATAAAAATTAAATTCACCAGCTGACAAAAAAAAACAATATGACTGCCTATCGAATTTCCCTTTTCCCGGTACAAATGCTTTCAGCAAGGTGTTTTTACGTCGAAATGTGGAAAAGAAAATAAAAATAATTTATCAAATTGCCGTAATCAATTCTGTCGGAAGGGACACCACGCAATCCGGGAATTAAGAGCTCCGCACCGGCCTTATGCAGATTTGTTTATATTTTCTTTGCTTACATTTAAAATTCATAAGTGGATATTGTGGTCCCGGGAGTGAATATTGTTATGCTGTGCTGGCGCATTTAAGTAAAATTGTAAAACTATTCTCAAAAGAGAGATAGTTTAATTTTAAAGGTCAAATTCTTTTGTTTGTAAGTACTTACATTGATTTATCTATCAATATAGGATCAAGTTTAAGTTGTTATTTTTTTATTAATAAGCTTAGCCCCAAAGTAAGCATTGTAAGGCTTGTGTTATGGTATAATAGTGTAACAGATTGAATACATATACTGATACATTGCGCCACGGAAGAAGTCATTGATCATTATTAAATTGATTATATAGTAAGGTGAAAAGTTGTGTTTTTTTTGCATTTAATTGTTATATATATGTTATGGGCTAAGTGATTTATAGGGCATTATTCATAATGCCCGGGCAATATTTATGTTAAGCATGTTTAATACTTTCAAATGAATACTTAGTTAGATAGACCGAGCACTACAAGTATTGAAATCAATTATCGGGTAGAGCAATAATAAAAACATGTGTTATAGTTTAGTATTTATTTTTAAAATTTAAATAATCGGACTTCGGTTTTACTTTGATCAATTTACGAAGGGCTACATTTAGAAACTATAGTCTATATTAGTTTCAATGCAGTTAGTTTGAAAAATTAATTAAATCTGTTAAATGTTCAGATTTTATGGTTCCCTATTTTTTAGAATGTAAAGACTAGGGAAGTAAGAACCAGTGCTTCTGCCTTATCTCCGGCGCTGCGGGAATAGCAGTCCCTCCGCCTTTGCGTGACAAAGTCACAAGCATCACTCCCCTTCACACCTTCGGCTTATTGGTACAGCAGCAGGCGGGGGCTGCTCTCGCTCCGCGCCTCCGGGCTCTAAAAACCACTCTAGAGGTAGGGCAGACCAAGACCACGGCGTGTCGAGGTTGACCAAGTCGGTTCTGAATTAAAGACTATTGTAAAGCCACATTTACCTTTTTTTCTAACTGTTGAGCCCATACTATTTTTTATTTACCAAGATCTCAAAACAAACACAAAATGGCGAGACATCTGTCATTTTGACAATAGTACCAACGTTTTGAATTTATTCATACTCCCCGGTGCAAGCGATAAATTCAAGTTATCTCAAACACTGACTTATTACATGGACCACGAGCCGTCCGGCATTATTAATAATGGCCAGGCAATGTGATAAATAGGTGAGTTTAGATTGTAATTAATCACTTGGCCCGATATGGCTGGGCATTATGAATACTGCCCGCATTAATCACTTGGCCCATAACATATATACCCTAGTTCGCTCGGGAGCAGCTCAGAGGAGCGTTCTGTCAACGATCGTGGTAGTTGAGCAATGATGTTGAGCATGCCTTTTCATAGGGCTAGCAAATAAGTCCACATCTTTAGACTATTATAAGACAGAGTTAAGATGCAGATGTTGCTGCTCTATCTATTTCAATTACTTAGTTATATTGAAGGACAGAATAGAAGAAAAATCTTTCTTCTCTCGCCGTGCTTCAGAAAGCTTGTTAACTGTTTGTCTGCATCTGCAGTCATAAGTACCCACCAATCTCCTTATTACTTCCGTAGGGGTATTCTGTGTGGCAGCAGTTGGGACATTAATAGGCTGATGATGATTACTTAGCTAAGTCTTGTCTGGAACAGGCGACAGGTTATCAGCATGTAGCTTAAATGAAGAAAAGAGCAGCTAGACTAGATTAAGAGAGGGGGGAAGTAACTTCCACCTCACAGAAGACCACAGTAAAATAACACTACCTTTTGATGGTGTTGTCTTTCTGTCGGTGAGTAAGGTTCCAGGGCTTCACTGATTGGGTCAGGGTAGGCAACGGCACGTAGGAAAGTATTTGTGTCGCGAGCGTTTAGAGGCTACATTGATCGCTTAACTTCAAGTTAAGTGGGCCATCTGCTTGTTTACCACCCTTTTAACATAAAAAAAACGACGGGTTGCACTTCGGGAGTGCCAGCAGAAGTGAAATCTTGAATATTGACGTTGTGCATTTTTGATATTTTGTAATGGTTAGGGAATAACTTTGCACGAATTGCTTTAATTTATCAGTATAAAAGTACTATCATTTATGTGGTAGAATACAATATTTATTTATTGCGCTATTTTACACAAACATGACAATTTATATTACATTAAAAAGTTTATGTCTCAGAAAAATCAACTTACATGAATCACATTTAAGCGCACCTAGCGACATCTCTTGTAACAAAATGTATTTTCTTCGCAATAAAGCTGCCACCTGGACGTCCTAATTAGAGACTTATTATTATAATATGATAAAATAAAATATTACTATGTTTCGTCCAATATATTGAAAGTCAACAACCTTTCCAATTTTATTGTTTTCGTCTTACGAATTTTCGATTAGGTCACGTGGACACGTGAAAAGTTTCACTTGCTTCATGGTTTTATCTAACCACATCAATTTTTAATTCCAGCTCGCGTGACAGAATTCTCATATTGAAAATATCTTTAGCAATGGAAGATGCGCGCAATTATTACAACAAAAAGCAAATTTGTCTCTCATGTTTCCGCGTAAGAAGATTTGTAACAAAAAAGGTTGCCACGTTAGAAGACTTAAAGATGTTAGAAATTTAATTAATTTACTTGGGGGTAGAAAGTAGCGGAAAATGGGAACTGATAAAGCGCGTTTGCGGGAGTTCCGTCCGACCTACCCTCATGCGGTCAGGAGGTCTTTATGAACTTCCGGGCGCGCAATCTCGTCATGTGCTCGCTTAATATTACATTTATTCGACTATGTACCATTATTACCACATATTTACCATTAGCATTTATTGTTTTGTTTGCTTTGAATAAAGAGGTTTGAAGTTGGAGTCTTGAAATAATTTTCTTTCTTGAAAGACTCTTTAAAAGGTGTGCTCTGTTGTTAGGCACCCTGAATTTATTACGTTTTTTATCAAGTAATAAGTAAGTACATATTATTAGGTGATTAAGCAAGCGTTGCTACGTTTGTTTAGGTAGGCGCGATTACTCAAGTCGAGCGTTGAAGGTTAAGCGTTTCGAGCACGACTCCGGTCAGAAATGGTAGTAAGTAGTAACCTCACGCGAAACAGGTAGCAAACTAGGCTCGTTACAAAAAAGAAATGCTCGGAGGTTTAAGTGGGTGCCGGCGGAGCGCAGTCGGAACGTGATTACTAGGTCGTCTGCCTTAGGGTGCACGGCCAAGCGTCCGGAAGTGACTCGCACCGAATAATCGCATCGATCGCCAAAAAACTAACCCACATACGCACTGGTAGCGTAGCCAGAATTATTAATCGAGAGAAGGAGGGGTGACCGGGTGGGTGAGCGGTGGGGAGGGCCCTCGCTACCCTAGGGCGCAGGCGCGCGCGTGCGGCGGGCACTTCGCGAGGAAGGCTCGCGCGCTTCGGCCGCGTACGACGGCTGGCGGCGTCGCGATGCGCGAGCAGCCGGCCCCGCGGCCGCTCCCGCGTGCGCCGCGCTAACCTGCACCCATGCAGTGGCGGAAACTTGCACGGCTGAAGTCTTCGCCGGGCGGACAGTCGCGCGCTCGGAGGATGCTCTGCTGCGGCCGCAGGAAGGTACGCCCGATCGATAGCCGAAACGGCCGCCCCTCCCGGCCCGAACGCCGACGCCGTTCGACGACCCCGAACCGCTAATGCCTTCGGTGCTCGTGGATATCCAGCCCCCTCTTTTTTGTAGTTCACGAGGGAGGGATTCCATTGCACCTCCGATTTGAGATAAATGTGACTGTAGTGCTAAAAGTCATGATGTTGAACGGTGATGCCAAATATCCATGGACTTTTGATTTGACCCCAGAAATACGTACGCTCACTCTACCAAGTTTATATAAACGAACATAATCTCCAAAAGAGATTCCATATTTTTAAATTAAATATTTACAGATTATAACCTCATAATGTATGACTCGCGCACGAAAACCTCGGCTTTATCAATTGATAACCAGCAGGTGGTAACTTTAACTGTCAAATAATGGTAACAGTGAATCATGTCACTAAAGTGGGTCAGATTGAAGTTTTGAATAAATTACACAAATTAATAGATTACATGTAAACGTAAACTATTTGTAGTTAACAAATCTATATATTTGAAGAGCATTGGTATCTTACACTAACCATTTGTAATTAATACAAAATAGGCAAGAAGTGCTTGGCTTAGACGCGATTAAAATGAACTACTATTAGCTCTCAAGATATGTCTTGAGAGCTATGGCACTTCTACTTGCATATAGGTGCATCGCCATCTTGAAATCTTGACTTTTTTCCCTTCTTACAGCCTGACGATTCGAAGGCTAAGCCACTCATTTGGATGCTTTAACAATTTATATAAAAATATGTTGGAATAACGCAATCTGTAATTACAATTTAAGAAGATATAGAGACAATAGTCTATACACAAATACATATTATGTATATAGGTTATTTAAGTAGTAGACACTGTCTATTCTGGGTGTTACTAATAATTGTATAAGTTGTCCGAAATTAATATTCTGAACTGAACGATTCATTGCTTTACACAAGGTTCCACTAATATAGTCAATTTCCATGAATCGTTATTATTTTCAAGGATTCATTAGGTTATATTTTTAATTTTGTAGTATTAGGAAAGCAAAAGAGGCAATGTCTAGGCAGTTGTGACACCAGAGTGTTGCACACCACAGTACAGAGTAGCATAAACACGTTGCTAATCCTGTAGAGAAGGACAAATATATTGTGACTACGGGTACTATTGTGCATTACCACATAAACTCAGAACAGTTCTGAACGAGCACATATTTGCTTGCTCGGTGGTTGGAAACATCAAACCGAACAAACGAGTTCGTACAACGATGTGTGAGAGGACTCAGGGAACGAATGCTCTCTTGCTCAGTCATCAATGGAAACAACACAACGTTGTTTTGAGCATTCCATCTACCGAGCGAACGAACGTTTGCTCGCTCGAAACTGTTCTGAGCACTAGCTGGAAAGGCAGCATAAATCGTATTATGAAAGTTAACATCTGGCGCATTTCATGTTTATCTGGAGCTCCCACTGAAATACGAGATGTGAAAAACCGAATTGATAGTTAAGGAATAATTAAAGACAGCTATCTCCTTATTATCCGTGCTTGAAATTCTTTCAAGAACTAGACAATTTTGGAAACTATTAGCTACACGATGAGCTGGCAATCTGGTATTATTATCATTAGGCCTCTAATGACCCCACTGCCGGGGCACAGATCATCATCCCTATGGGATGGAATAGGAATATTGGGCTGTGATCATAAAATAGAAAATTTTCTGTTCTGTGGCCGTGATCCACCACGCAGGCCAACCTCTCTCTTGTATTATAATAATGTCAATTCTCGTAAAAATCCTGCGCACAACAATAAACATAAGACTTTGTAGGCAATGCAGCAGCAATAGAGAAATTTCGTTTTCTTTGCACTGCCGGAGTCCTATAGTCCTAGCAAAGACTGTAAGTACCTTATAAGACTTTGCTCGTATGCACGCTTGCGTGCGTGCCTTCTTTAAATCCTTGAGGCACCTTGAATGAGGTAGGTAGTTGAATAAAGTTGTTAGCAAAATTTTTTTGCCTATTTCAGGTACACTTAATATTTTTCAAGGATAAACAATGTCTTAATCCCGGTCATAAACTGTCGGTAACAGGCTAATAGCCGCAAAACCTATCGGTGTAGAGATCCTTGGGGAAGACCTTGTTTGGGCTTCGTATAGCTGATACTATGATGATGAGTAGAATTTTATTTATGAAACTTAGCTAAAGTATTATGTATTTATCAATCCCACAAGATAGGTATGGTAGGAAGAAAGGTTATGCTGTTTTGACCTGTCCGCTTCGTTTCATTGCAGAGTAGATTATAGATTTTCTTTCAGAAAAATCTAATTAACATATTTTTTCTCGTGGCGTTCAAGTCACATTAGCTGATTGTTAAGGAGTACAAATAACTGCGCTCCTTGCTTAAAAAAAGTTTTTATTAAAGTAGTTTGCCTACGATTAGATTAGATTACGATACATATGAAGGGGACCATACTAACTATCCTACGATGTTTTTTTAAAGCTATGAAATGCAGACGTTGCTGAGTTTCTGAAAAATCTAATTTCTTATAAAAATATGACCCACATATTGATTAACTTTATTTGATTTTTATAATACGTTATTGGAGCTGAAAATTTTATTGTACTAGTACTTATTATGGTTCTTAAGAAATCAGCCCGCTGACAGACGGCCAGACAGCGATGGGTGAACACATGGAGCAAAAACTTTGTATTTGCTCCATGGCTGAACATTAGGGTTCCGTTGTGATCTTATGAAAATGGAGAAGAGCTACGGAAATATAAAATAGCAGAGATATTTTTCTCAGTTTCTTTTCCCTACTTCCGGTACATTTATAAGTACTTATTTAGGGATGAGTCGGTGTTTGTGAATAGAACTTTGTCAGTACGATTATATCTAACGAATTTCAGAGACAACACTAGAGTGGAGAGCGGCTTGGAGACGAGTAGCATTCGAGTGCTTGCCACTCGCGCTGCTTTCATCGAATTTGAGCTTATTAGAGTTCCGTATCCAAAGGGTAAAAACGGAACCCTATTTCTAAGACTCCACTGTCCGTCTGTCTCTTTGTCTGTTTCCAGGCTGTATCTCATGATAGCTAGACAGTTGAAATTTTCACACATACATGTCGCTATAACAACAAATACTAAAAACGGAATGAATTAAATATTTAAGAGGGGGGGGGGGGAGGCGGGGCTCTTATACAACAAACAAATGATTTTTGTGCCGTTTTTTGCTCTATATTAATAACGGCAATGCTTGAAATAATTACAGAATATTAAAATTTATATATTCACTTTAAAACTAAAATAAATAAATATTTAAGGGGGGCTCCCACTCAACAGACGTCATTTTAGCCGCTTTTGCTCGATATTTTAATAGGTTTACTTCGTGGGCGAGTCTGACTCGCACTTGAAGGTTTTTTTTTATCTTGAACTCTCATAACTATAGATAGATCTGTTACGTTTTGATTCTGAGTAAGTTGCATGTTACTTACTACGCTTATCCAAATATAGGTATTCATCATCATCTTATAAGCCCACTGCTGTGCATAGGCCACCTACAAGTATATTTAGTGTTATACTCTTTACTATTTCTAAAATTTTGTTATATTATAAACCAGTAAGAGATGTGCTAAAAATTAAAGACAAGTAAGAAACTTAGTAATAACACTAGGCTCAAGTGGGGGACAGTGTAACAAGGGGCAAGGTGTAACAAAAGGAATATCTCTTTTTTTTTGTTCTGTGGCTGTTTTCGTTTTACACAGAAATTTCGCCAATGTCCCGTAGTGAAGAATATCTCTTTACCATTTGACGTCCGATGACAGCTGCTTAAGCTGACGGCTTATAAAACCCAAAAAAAGAAGCGTCAAGACAGACCATAGAAAAATAAGAAAAAGGCAGAGAGAGAGATCCTTATGTTACACTGTATCCTTTGTTACACTGTCTCCCACTTGTAATAATTTGTAATTGCGTATTTGTGAAATACGTCTTGGAGCGTTTTGATAGGTCATTTGGGAAGGATTTTCAAGGATCAAATCTGTTACGTCCGCAGTTAGAGCTGTGTGACAAGTACCACAGACACTGCCCGTGTTGCCAGACGAGGAAATTAAAATCGCGGTAGAGTGGATACAAAAACGTAGATTTTCAACAAAAAAACGGTACTTACGATTTACATCCCCCTCCTCCCGAAGAAATAAAAATTCTTATTTCATAAATCAAAACAAATTGTAGTACCATGCGTGAGGAAAATAGAGATTGTTCTGGTAGATTGGAAAAAAGCGAAACGCGGATCCATTGTCAAAAAGGCGACAGAAAAAGCTCAAAAGCGGTACGATCCGGCAACACTGACTACGGGCATAATGGGCATACAGCTATTGATGAATGTCCAGGAAGCGAAAGAGATTTGTAGGGAGCCTTCGTTAAAGTGGAGATCAATTTGTTTTCGCCTGCCTCTCTGGTCTTTACCTAATGTAAAGCTTATTATAGGCTGAATCTTGCGACTGCCTTGTAGCCGGTTTCATTTTAAGGGCATGTTATTTTGTCCGGCTGTAAATCAATAGGCTATTTGATTAGTTTTTAAAAAAGTTCAGGCTATTTATAAGTGTATTGTATAGTGACTTTATAAAATGATAGGATATTTATAATTCTATTGCGTATATCGGTAAAATAATGAAAATAAAACTTCTGTTTTCAAATATGCCGCGGAAACGTTTTTCTAGCAAATATGGCATATTTACAGGCAGGTGTCGTCACACGGCTTTTATTGACTTGGCTTCGACAGCTGGTTTACAAGCAGGTAACGTCATTATAGGCTCCGCCAATCATAGGCGTTTTCTATCATGTGACAATAGTTCAAATAATACTTTTTAGTGATGTTATCAATGATTTTTTTTGTCAGAATAGTGAAATCGCTCCCTCTATTCATGTTAAATACACATGCTAACAATTGGTACTTTATTTTTCATATTATCAAATTGCCTATTAGACTCACGTTAAGTCCGTCTAAC